ATATGCTCCTTTCTAAATTTTTATATCATATTTCTGACTTATTGCACTCCACCGTTTTCAGAAACCCTCTTTGGCAAATTTTTCGTACTACTAATAGCACAATTTCTTTCTTACACTGCAACTTCTTTTCCTCTCAATCCCGAATAAATGTACTAACTAGGACCTCCCATTCTCCCTCTCCCGCTCACGCAGAAGTCAACTGGGGATCGTCGACGCAGGCCCAGACGTACACGCTCGCCCTGAACTCCGTGGCTTCCCTGGGCCAAGTGGAGGAGCACGTGAAGACCTACCGACCTCAGATTCTGGTGCTCTGTGGGGCGCCGTCGGCCAGGCCTCCTCTCCTGCACTTCGCCAATTCCATCACCAAAAACATGTCTTTGCTCGTCGCCGGACACTGCCTCAAGGTAATTTTTGATTGGTGGTGGTGTTTGTCTCTATTTACTTTTTGTCTTGATGTGGTTCCTCTATTTCTAGCGAGAAGGAGATGAGAATAGAGATGAATATTTTGAGAGGACTCGATTTTTAAGTTTTCTCCGTCTTCAGCAATTACGGTTTGTTTACCTAATTCACACAATGCACAACAACTATCCTCCCGACTCTCCCGCAGGAGCAACAGCCCCACCGCGTCCGCGCCCGCATGACGACGGAGGCGACGAAGTGGCTGGTCCGCGGGAAGATCCGGGCGTTCTACCCTGGCCGACGACCCTCCCCACGAGCAGGCGGCGAGGAACCTCATGTGCAACGTCGGCCTCGGGAAGCTGCGCCCGAACACCGTCCTCATGGGCTACAAGGCCAACTGGCAGACGTGTCCCCAGGAGGAACTTCAGAGCTACTTCAAGACTATTCAGTAAGCGCCGTAGGATGGTGTTCCTGGAGGAGAATATCCGTCTGCAGCTAGCGATAGGCTTTATATTTTGTCTCAATATTACAGAATTAATCTTAGCTGACCCGTGGTTTCCGATTCTTCGATTGGTTTATATACAGCCCCGTAGGCCCCGGAGGCTAATAATAAAATAGTTGTTTTGGTCTTGGATTTCGGAGTATGGAAGCTGAACATGACAGTCACAACAATTACATTTTGATTGTTTATAGGCTCTATGAGCTCCACGGAGAGGTGATCTTGAAGGATGATATAATTCGAAGTAGTCGATATATTGTCTATTCTCCAACTGCATTCGGTGGACCAACATTTCAATTTCCTCTCAATAGATACTCTAAAATGTTCAGCTTTCTGATTCTCGTGTGGAAAGATATGAATGAGAACGAATATCTTGACCGGTTTCGAATATATCTTCGTCAGAAACGTGTATTTCTGACGAAGATGTATTCGTAACCGGACAAATACATCTCTTGTATTGTGAAGATATTCGTTCTCAATCATACCTTTCTACATTTATCAACATGAATACGGTTCATTTTTTTCTGATTCTCCCTCAGCTACGCCTTCGACCTGCACCTCGCCGTCGGGATCCTGCGGGTGGACGGCGGCCTCGACTACTCCAACCTGACGGAGGTGACCGAGGAGGAGGAGAAGAGCCTCGCTGCCTCGACCACCTATCCCGCCGCCTCCAACGCCGCCCCTTCGACCTCCGCGCCCCAACATCCCGAAGGAGGGGAGGTCAGCCTCCACCCCACCCACCTGCACGAGAAGGAGTCGCAGATTAGTCCTTGTGAGTCCTGGAGGATGTCCTCGCCCCTTCTCTGTCCTGGGTCGAGAGTGCTGTCCTTCTTGTTGGTGTTTTAATTGTTATTGCTGGTGTTGCACTTATTGTTATTAGTATTGTTTTGTTATAATAATTATCATTGTTTTTATTATCACTGTTTTCAGTATTATTATTACTATTGTTATCATTATAATGAGAGTGATAATGATAGTAATAATAATGATAATGATAATTGTCTTTATCATTATAATTATTGCCATTATTGTTATTATTATTATTATTATCATTATCATTATTACTATTGTTATTATTAGTATTAGTATTAGTATTAGTATACTTATAATTGCTATCATTATTATTACTAAATATTATTCTTATTCACATTTTTCTTCTCATTATTATTATTATTATTATTATTATTATTATTATTATTATTATTATCAATAGCATTTTATTAGTAGCATTATCATTACTATTATCATCCTTGTCATTACTATTACATCACTATTATTACTACTATGGTTACCATTATTATTATCATTATAATTATTATTATTATTATTATTATCATCATTATTTTTATTTTCATCATTATTACTATTATCATTATTACTATTATCATTATCATTATTATCATCATCATTTTAATATCATTATTTTAGTATTATCAGTAGTATTATTTTCATTATCATTACTGATAATATTATTATCATTACTTTTGTTTTCATTATTATTGCAATTGTTACTATTATTGTTATCATCATTATTGCAATTACTATTATTATCGTCATCATTATTATTATCATCATTATTATCATTATTTGTTTTTCTATTATCATCATTGTTATTATTACTGTTCTTATTTGTTATCATTATCAATATCATTATTATAATCATTATCTTACTATCACCGTTCCTGTGAACTGTCATTATCATTGTCATTATTGTCATTAGTATTAGCATTACTATTAGTATTAGATGTTATTGTTATTATCATTTTTATTATTATTATTATTATTATTATTATTATTATTATTATTATTATTATTTTATTATTTTTATTATTTATTATATTATTATTATATTATATTATTATTATTATTACTGTTATTATTATGATTTATTTTATTGTGATTATTTATAATTATATTATTATATTATTATTATTATTTTATATGATTACTTTATTGTTATTATTATTATTATTATTATTATTATTGTCACTGTCATTTGTGTTAGTCATGAAAGGTATGCTGCTATATGGCTAAAATTTGCTTAAGGCAATGGCATCATCACAGTTTTTTTAATCTGAATTCTGAATATCCCTTCGGGCCATTTTCTTGTAGATGTGATAGACCATAAATAAATGCTAAGTTTTGTATTTTTTTTCAAAATTAATTTGTCTGTGTGTAGGGTTTTTTTTTGTTTGTTTGTTTCTCCATAAGGTATTTCTCAACTTTCGTGTTTCTCTTTCGGTTTTATAGAATTAATGAGCCAATTCTTTTCCTTCCTCTGTGTAACCGGTCGCAATGTCTCTTCCAGCTCTTGCGAAAACCCTAACTCACGGGTTGCAAAAATTAACTCAAGGTAAAGTTAATTGGGCAACATCCACTTGCAAGTCCAGATCCCCCAGAATGCATGATATCGCATGACCAGTTCAAGCGCTGGATAAGAAGAAATAGATAAAAAAAAATAGATATAGCCTGCCAAAAGTTTTTTTTTTTTTTTTTTTTTTTTTTTTTTTTTTTTTTTTTTTTTTTTTTTTATTATCATGCGCTCTTCCAATATCCGTAGGTCTTGTGTAGTCTGTCCTTATTTTAGAGGTATGATAAAGTAGCACGCCTATCCAGTGTCGTCGGGTGTCTCTCTGTGTGTGGATTTCTTTATCATTTATTACTTTTTTCCTCCCTTTTTTTGCCCTGTGGTGCGTGGTCAGAGTAGATATGCGTTTAAGTTGCTCCTCTGGATGCCCTGTATGCGCGTTCATTAGCTGTCGAGTTTGCAGTTGAATCGTACGGGTCTCTCTGCTTCCGTTGGCATTAATTGAGATTAGCGTTTACTAGTTATTTTGATTTGGAAATGTTTTCGTAGAGAAATTGTGATCGCTGACCTTCTTTTTTCATGTTATGTTTATATATTTTTGTATGTAAACACGTACACTTACTCGCACACACATAAATACAGACACACATAAATACAAACATATACACAAACACAAACACACACACACACTCAAACTTAAACACAAACACAAACTCACTTACACACACACAAACACAAACTCACACACACATAAACACAAACTCTCTCTCTCTCTCACACACACACACTTTAATTTAATTCAATTTTGATCCCTTGTTTATACAGAAATATATACGAGAAATATCCCTTCTTGTAGTACATGAACATAAACTCACAAACACTCCTTTGAAATCAAATCCTGTAAACTCCCGTGCCCATGACTGCCCCGAGAGAAGCAGTCGATTCCACGACCGACGAAAATCTCCTGACGAAGGGTCCTCCTTGCCTCCCCAGCTGCCACCTCCGGCCACCTCACCTCGGTGCCCAGTTACCCTTCGTCGCCCGCTGAGGAGAGGCTCCCTTCGGACACCATCCTTGGCGTCCTGAAGCTCGCCAAGAAGAAGAAGAATCCCACGTACAAAGGTCCGAGCGGCGAGGTCGTGGCGCCGCAGGTGGTGGACTCCATGCTCCGGTTCACGCGCAAGCAGCCCCAGGGGACCATTGACGTCTGGTGGCTCTACGACGATGGCGGTACCTTTCATTCTGTCTCTGTTTATATGTCTATGTCTGTCTGTGTCTATATCTGTACCTCTGTCTCTACCTGTATATTTATGTGTGTTTGGAACGATGTGTAAATACATCCTTTCTCTCTCTCTCTCTCTCTCTCTCTCTCTCTCTCTCTCTCTCTCTGTCTCTGTCTCTCCTCTGTCTCTGTCTCTGTCTCTGTCTCTGTCTCTCTTCTCTCTTGTCTCTGTCTCTCTCTCTCTCCTCCTGTCTCTCTCTCTCTCTCTCTCTCTCTATCTCTCTCTTCTCTATTTCATGTCTTATTTATACACTCTTATAATGTTTTGCTGTTTGCTTCAAACCAGTTGTTGAACATCATACCCCACAGAATGTAAGAATATGTTCACAAAAAAGAAAGAAAGAACCATCATACTACACAAAACATGTAGATTTTGAAAGAAAAAGGAAGAAGAAAGAAAGAAGAAGTGTAAAGACTGTGACTCCTCAGCTTATCGACCGTAAACTTTCGCCACACGTGGTCCCTCCTCTCTCTAGTCTTTCGATCAGCTGATGTGTCGAAAGGCCAAAATCGAGCTTTTAAAAAATCTGTAAGTTCTGTAGGAATACATACATTTGATTCCTTATTTTATTTGTACTGCATATAATTTTTTGCATTGTATATAAAGCCTCAGTCAAAGAGAAAACATCAAGATAATACAATCTGTTTGGGCAACGTTTGTATGCTGAGATGAGTCACCCGGAGTTAACCTATTGATTTTCTTCTCGCTGCTCCTGGTATTAGGTGTGTGTGTCTGTGCAGGTGTGATGATTTTATTGAAGGGCAGGATGGATGGATTATATTGTGTATGTGTAGTCGTGTTTATGTCTCGTTTGTGAGTGATTGTTTTTCTTTTTTTTAATAAGGGTTGTTCATGGCATTTTTACGTTTTCTGTTTTTGTCTGATGGCGTTGAAGTCGATTATATTTTAAAGGATGTTCCAATTCTATATATGTATTTTCTCTGTTGTGATAAATTGGAGGGGTTGGGCATCATATCCAGGCATACATTATCCATACATGAACAATATATGTCTTGGAAATATAAAGATTTGAAGGAAGGTTGGGTCATTATTCCTTTATTTCTGCACAGTCACGTTATAAAAGCATCCAGGCGATAGATGATTGCAGATGCCGTATTACAGTTTATAAATTGATTTATAAACATATCCTAGCACAACTCTTGATTTGAGTCTTGCTTAACAATGCCTGTTTTTCATTTGCTTTATAGATAACATACATTTGTGTATTCAGGAATCCGTCATCATTTACATATGCTTTTATTAAAACGGCTGATTGTAAAATTACATAATGTATGTCTGGAAAAAATAACTCATAATGATTATCATTGTTATCCCTAAATCATACGTCATTTTCTATTTGTATACATAGAAAATGTAATATTTTTTTACTTTTTTTTCAGGACTGACTATGTTAATTCCATACATCTTGACAACTCGTTCCAACTGGTCCTCGTGTAAACTACGGGTATTCTGCCTCGCAAACAAAAAGGTAAGTAATGGAAGATTTGCGGAAATGTTGCATATGTAGGTGATAATTCACGAAAGAATGAATTTCAAACAAAAGAATTTTTATTTTGGATGTAAACGCGCGCTTTCATCATTTTGCAGACATACGGAAATATGCACATTAAAAATTATTCTAAGATAATGGACTCACCCAGCGTTACCATACAAGAAGTCCAAACTAAAGCGAGTAATATTCATTTCCGTGATTATTGTTACTTATTACAATTATATATATATCATTATTTTTTACATTTTTGCTTACATGTGTTTATCTGCAATTGTTATATGCACTACGACATATGTTGATATACCCTCAGTTTTTAATCGTTAATGTAGATATTAGTTAAAAAGAATGTGAGACGTATACAGAGGTACGCATTAATTTTCGAGACCGGAAACTTGTAGATAAGCACCAATTAATCTCTGTACAGGGATTTTTACGTCTTACTGTTCTTCGGCTACAACGAAGATATAGAACCTTGTTATCTTGAGAAATAAGAAAGACTTTACTGAGAACACATATCCCGTATTTGCCTTCGCAGTATATTTACCCTCATATATGACGTGCCCTATTTAACAAGGATATTGTGCATGTGTGTGTATGTGTGTTGTGTGAGAGTAGAGAGAGGAAAGAAAGAAAAAGAGAAGAGAGAGAGAGAGATAGACGAGAAGAGAGAGAGAGAGCGAGAGAGGAGAGAGAGAGAGAGCAGTACGACAGACAGGAAAGACGCACCAGACAGAGTGATGTGAGTGATGAGTGTGACAGTGCGTGAGTGGAGTGAGTGGAGTATGAGAGGAGCTGAAGTGAAGTGATGATTCGGAGGTGAAGTGAGTCGAGTGACCCTGTGAATGACGTAACATGACTGAGTGATTGTGAGTGAACGTGAGTAGTGGTGAAGTCGGCGTGAGTGAGGTGAGTGGAGTCGAGTGCGGGTTCTGTGAGTGAGTGTATGATGTGAGAATGAGGAAAATGAGTGACGGAGTGAGTGACAGTGAGTGAGTGACGGACGTGAGTGATGTGACTGAGAAGAGAGAGAAAGAGAGAGAGACCAGAGGAGAGAGAGAGAGAGAGAGAGAGAGAGAGAGAGAGAGAGAGAGAGAGAGAGAAGGAGCAGAAGAATAAACAAGACAGGAAGTTAGACAGAGTGAGAGAGCAGAGAGAGAGAGAGAGAGAAAAAACCCGACAGACAGGTAGACAGAGAAGAGGAGAGAAGAGACGAGAGGAAGGAGAGAAGAGAGAAAGATGAGAAGAAGAGACGAGAGAGAAGAACAAGAGAAGGAGAGAGAGAGAGACAGAGAGACAAGACAGGCAGGACAGACAGAGAGAACCAGAACAGACAGACAGAAAGTAAAAAAAACTAGACACTGCATTAAATACAACAACCTTAGACAAATTTCTCCATATACAGATAAATTTTACCAACACGCTCGACTTACGTAAATATACAACTTCTATGCATATAAGATAGGAACCAACCCGCTCTTCTCATCCGACTCTAAACGTAAACTATACATACTTCTATGCATATAAGATTGAAACCACACCGTTTTCTCACGCCACCTTCCCCTCCAGGACAGAATCTGGCCTACCGAGCGACCGTCGATGGCTCGAGCTTACTGTCAAATTTCGAGGATCGACTCACTACTCGGGATTTATTCCCGCACAACGTCCAGCGACACGGAGACTCCCTGAAGATTCCAAACCTCATTAGTATCTGATAGCATCCGTCGCAAGAAGGTGGGAAACGTTTTTTTTTATTTATATTTATTTATATATATTCGTAATTTATATATTATTTATTAGTATCTATTATTACGGAAGGATCTTGATCTATTGTGGATCTGTAGGAACGTTTCTTTTTTATTTTATACACAAGTAGGGAAGGAATTTGATTCATGTGGTGTAGAAACGTTTTTTTCGAAATTTACCTGGCCAAATTCAGGATCGACTTCACTGACGTCGTGATGATTCCGAGTCCAGCGAAGCACGGAAGACTCCCTGAGCACTTCCAAAAACCTGGTAGGTTTCTTTTTTATAGATTTAATTAGGAAGAATTGATTATCTGGTGTAGAAAAAGTTTTTTTTTATTTATACGGAAGAATTATATGTGTTTGTAGAAACGTTTTTTTTTATTATACGGAAGAACTATTATGTGTTATAAAAACGTTTGTATTTACTTATTATGGTGTTATAGAAACGTTGATTTATTTTTTATATCGGGAACGGAAGAACTTGATTATGGTGGTTATAGAAACGCTTTTTTTCTTTATATTAGGGAAGGAATTTGATTATGGGTTGTAAAACGGGCCATTCATTTTATTTATACGGAAGAATTTGATTATCTGGTTATAAAACGTTGCATTTATTTATATTTGGAAGAATTGATATGTGTTATAGAAACTTTTTTTTATTTAGGAAGAATTTTGATTATGGTGCTTATAGAAACGTTGTATTTTATTTGTTTTATTCGGGAACGGAAGATTATGATTATGGTGGTTTTAGAAACGTTTTTGTTTTATTTATATTGGGGAACGGGAAGGAATTTGATTATGGTGGTTGTAGAAACGTTTGTATTTTATTTATTTATATCGGAAAAGATATAAGATATAAAAGATATAAAAGGTGGGAAACGTTTTTTTTTTTTATACGGGAAGAATTTATTATGGTGGTTATAGAAACGTTTTATTTTATTATTATATTTATATCGGGGAACGGGAAGGAATTTGATAATGGTGGTTATAGAGATGATGATGATGCGTATGATTGTGAATATAATGATGAATTAAGATAAGGTGATTTAGTATAATGAGAAATCATGATTAAAAAATTGTTCTAATGATGTTAATACTACGAGTATCATTATTCACATGTTTCTGAATACAGATCCCTCATTTTAATATATCAACCGTTATCCGCAATACAAAACATGTAACAGTTTTTTGTTATTATTACCCATAGTTCTCTAATGCTTTTCATATGTCACGTATTTATTCATCTTATGCTTCGTCTTTCCTTTTTTATTTACTCTGTTACTTATCTGTCACGTAGTTTTGGTCATTTTCTGATTACTTTTTTATCGTGTAGTTTCTCTTTCCTTCATTTTTAATTATTTTGTGATTAAAGTTTTGCCTGTTTTTTAGTTATTATATGATTGCTTTTTCTGGCGTTTATAAGTATTTTATTTGTCCAGTTTTATCATTCTCTCTTTTTCTCCCTATCTATCTATATCTATTTCCCTTTCTCTGTATGTCTGTCTGTTTGTCTGTCTGCCTGTCTCTATCTCTGTGTCTGTCTCTCTCTCTCTCTCTCTCTCTCTCTCTCTCTCTCTCTCTCTCTCTCTCTCTCTCTCTCTCTCTCTCTCTCTCTCTCTCCTCACTCTCTCTCTCTCTCCTCTCTCTCTCTCTCTCTCTCTCTCTCTCTATATATATAGTATCATATACTATATAATATATATATATATATATTATATATATAATATATATATATACATATACACATCACATAATCAATATACTAATACCTATACAATAATAATATATATATACATATACTATATATATAATATTACCTCCAACCTCTCTATCCCTTCAATCCCTTACCTCCCTACGTCTCCCCCTCTCCCTCCCTCTCCTTCCTCTCTCCTTCCCCTCTCCCTCCTCCCTCTCCCCCCCTCCCTCTCTCCTTCAATCTTCTCCATCACCTCACCGCCCTTTTCCTCCCCCCCCTTCGCAGAGACCCCGGAGGCGGCCCGGCAATCACCGAGACAACACTGCTGGCGCTGAAGGACAAGACCAACAGACACATACGCCCTTCGGGACTTCCTGCTGACACTTCGGCGACGCGTACTTATAGTCATCGTGAGTGCTGCATGGAGCGTGTGGAGGGCTGGAGATGGGGGGGGAGAGATGGGTTGAAAGGGGGGAAGGATTGTGAGGAGAGGGGTTTGCTGGACAGTGGGCAGGGTGTGAGGTGGAGAAGGGGGGAGGATGTGGTGAAGGGCGAGT